CTGGCACCCGACCCGGGCTTCTTGGTGAGACAGCTACAGACTCTTTCCCGTGTGTCCCTGTGGACGCTCGGAGCCTGTGGACGCCCCTTCCACGGGGAGCCTCGCTCTGCGTGTCTGGCTACTTTGACTTGTGGCTTCACTGTCCTGGCTGTGTTGGCTCAGGAAGGTGCGAGACCCAGACCATGCAGCCCCTGCTGGGAGGAGGGGACGGGAGCACAAGACCCCCGTGACCACCTGCCTTTGCCGCCTCTGCCCCGGCCACGTCGCCCGCCCCTGAGCCAGCTCTAGGGTGGGGGCCTACCTAGGAACTCACTCCTCCTTCCAGTGGCTGGGCTGGCGGCGAGAACAGGAGGCCGTCTGCTCAGTCCTGCCCTTGCGAAGCTCCTCACCAGCAGGCCTTGGATGGCTGCAGTGACATCAGGGACGCAGGGACAGGACGCGCAGGTCTTCTCGGGGTGTGGCAGGCTCAGATGGAAAAGCGATCGGAGGGGCTGTGGCTCCCTGGCACCCTGGTTCTCAGATTCGCTGGCTCTCAGCCCTCAGGTCTGTGCCTCCTGCTTCCGTCCATCTGTCCGTCAGGGCCCTGGATCAGCAGCTGCTGCGGATTCAGTGCTGGGCAGCCCCGGCTTTCCCAGGGACAGCGTCTCCCTTCCATGCTTTAGTCCCGGAGGCCCCGTCTGAAAACCCATGTGTTTCTCATTTAGAACCGCGTACAACGGGCCTGACTGTGTCATTTTTATTACCTGAGACATAAATTGCATTTTTCTCCTTATTTTATTGTTCAGGGGAGCTCAGTGCCGCTTAACTGACAAACAATTTCTGCCCTCCCTAATGGTCTATTTTGTAACCTGGAAAATGACTCACCTGGCCTGTTTCTCCGTGTAAAATGAGATGATGGTTCCTGCTTTGCTCAAGCGTTGGGGAGATTGTGTCCAGATGGGGCTTGTTCAGAAGGGGGCCGTGTGCGAGGCCGAAAGACCGTTCATTGTTCCCCTTAAGACACCTCTGTTCAAACACGATCCGTTCCCTGTTCCTGGAGGTGAAAATGTCCAAATACGGAAATGGGGTCTCCAGACTGGCAAACCCGGAACACGGGGTTTGTCTGCTAACACTTGCCTGTCCACACAGGCCTGTCGTGCGTGGAGGTCCCTGGGGACAGACACGTGCTTCCGGGCACGGCGTCCCTGCAGTGGGCTGTCCGGGGAGCCCGTCTGGCTGTTAGCCTTCGGCACACTGCGGGCTGAGGCGAGCATGGACGCCGGGTTCAGCGGTGGGGATTTTTTTTGTAAGCCCCTCCTGTCTGGGCCTGGTCTGCCCTGACCAGCGGACCCTGTTGCCTCAGTGTCCCCTTTAACCTCCTGCCACCCTGGGACATCACCGTCAGGGTCACAGGGGAGACATGGTGGATCAGGGGTCCCTTAGCCCCAGAGCAGACACCCCACTTAATTCCAGATCCACTGGAGGACATCCGTTCCAGACGAGCCATCCATCCGAGGTCACTACTGCCTTCAGGGTAGAAACAGTGAATTCTCTCTCTCCTGCCGTCTTCCCTGGGCTTCATCCGTGTCCCAGAGTCGGCCCTTCTCCCCACAGGAACCCTGAAGACTGTCTCACCACCTCCCAAGGTCACTTCTCCTACTTTGGGATGTACCCCACGTAGTTCCCAGATCCAAGAGGTCTTCTAGATCATTTCATTTTATGGATGGGGAGACTGGGACCAGGGGAGCCCAATTTTTACTGAGTTAGGACTAGATGGAACCTAGAATTCTCCATTGCATTAGGAGATACTGATCTATTTCTCCTCTCTTTTTGACACGTCACATATTTTTGTCTGCAGTTCATGTTAATAATTATAAAAACAATGTTTGAATGTTTTTAAAAAAATCCTGGCATTTGTCCCCCTGAAGCAATCATTGCTGAGTGGAGGGTCCAGGTCCCGCCAGATCTGCTGCCCTGCTGTGTGCCCGGGAGCCGTCCGTCGGTGGCCCGATGCCCTGATTTCTTCAAAGGCCTGAGTTATGGCCCCTTGTGTGCCTTCCCAGGGCTGTTGCTGTGTCCTGGCCTCAGGTCGCCCCAACGGACTCGGGGGAAGAGCCAGCTAACTGCCCGCATCACCTTCCTGCGTGTCCCCCGCAGCCCCGGGGCTGGGCCGGCTTGCGCACGAGCCACAGATCAGGGCCTGTCAGGGGACGGATGTGGTGATTTTCAGCAGAGAGGCCTTACCTCCTTCCAGACCTCCCCGTGGACTAAACTTGAGGGAGGCAACTCTCACTTGAGAAGAGGCTGGCGAGCTCGCGGCCTTGCCGTCAGGTCTCTGAACACGGAGTTTTTGGAGTGCATCCCTTACGGGGGCTGTGACCTTCCACGGAGAGCTGCGGACAGACACAGGGTCCGTCGCGGAGGACAGCTCACCCTTCCGGGCTCTCTGCGCGCACGGCCCCTCGAGGTTTGCAGGAAATGCTAACAATGGCTCCAGCTTGGGCTTAGGGCCGGCAGTAAACCGCCCTCTGCAGGAACCACGTCGGTGGAGACCAGGGCCATCCCCGAAGAGTGGGACTCTGGCCCAAGTCCACCTGTTTCTTTCCCTTGGGCCTGCCTTGGCCTGGGTCTCAGCCAGTGGGCTCAGTGCGTCTCTGTTCCTGGGCAGCAGGGGATGCGCATCTGAGTTCATGCCTGGTGACCTAGGAGCTCCTTCGACGCTGTCCTCTGTGGGCCTGGCAGGGCCAGGGCCTCCAGAACCACTTCTCCAATGTCTCCTGGGCACCGTAGAGCACAGTGGTGGGTGGTGGGATCTAGGGGCCATGGGCTGAAGCCAAGACAGGGATCCCTGGGGTCTGGCGTCTCGTCACCAGCCCGAGCCCCTCGGATGGGTCAAGTGAGACGGAGCATTCTAGAAGTCTGCCCGTTTTCCAGTGAAATTGCCGACACTCATCCTATGGCCAGTTCCACGGGAAGCAGAAGGTGTTATTGTTGAGGTTGCTAGATGGTTGGGTCCTGAGTCTTCACGACATAAAGGGTGTCCACGGAGTAAAGAAGGGGAGTGGGCAGCCCGGGAGGAAGCATGGACACACGCGACTTGGACGTTGACGCTGGTGAATCAGGCATCTTGAGGACAAGGAGCCCCCACATGTAGCATAAGATGTTGACAGAGTGGTCCCAGGATTTCAAACCGAAACATGCGCTCTCCTCGGACACCGGGTAAACCGAGTCAGGCTTTTCTTCCCCTCGGCTTTCCCAGCCCATGCCTCACTTTCTGCCGTGTTTTGTACCTTGAGCTCCTCCCTGCACACGGACGTGCAGCCCATGCTGTGGGGCTGCGGCTGCGGGTTGGCGCCGCAGCTCCACGTGGGGCCGCACAGGGCCAGGCACCCAGACTCCCTGACGGCTGCACCAGGATGGAAGGTGGCTTTGGGGAGGAGTCCCTACAGGTTCTGGAGAGGTTAGCCCATCCTGGGGCTCTGCTTGTCCCCATGAATGGTGATAAAGTGTCACCACCGCCCTGAGGTTAGAATTTTGATGGCTCAGGTTTGGTTCGACAGTTCATTGAAAGTTGACTGTTCCCTCCCCAGGGCTGATCTGGACATGGACCTGGATTTGCCAGGCTCTGAGCCGTGTGTCCTGGAGGTGGTCATGGCTGCCATGGGGCCTGGAGGTCAGCGCTGACCCACCTCTGCGCTCTGGGACTGGCTGCCCCGTCGGCTGGACCCAGCTCTGCAGCTGTGAGGGTGCCAGGTGCAGACGCCCACTGTGGACAGATGATGGGGTGCGGTGCGGGGTGCCGGCATGTGTGGCCCCTTCCCGAAGCCTCCTTGCCGGGATAGGTGGTCGAGGAGTCCATGTTTGCGGCGGGCTAAGGAAGGTGGGATGAGGGGCAGGGGGCTCCTTTGGCCGCCAAGTCTGCCCTTCCCCGGCTCCGCCTGGAGAGCACAGACCTCGAGGCACCTTCCCTGTGCCTGCCTTGTGTGTGTGCGTGTGTGTGCGTGTGCATGTGTGTGTGCGTGTGCCTGCCTTGTGTGTGCATGTGCGCGCACGTGCGTGTGTGCCTGCCTTGTGAGTGTGTGCACGCGTGTGTCTGTGCGTGTGCGCATGCCTGCCTTGTGTGCGCGTGTATGCGTGTGTGTGCGTATGTGTGTGTGCATGTGTAAAGCAGTGTCTTCCTGCCCCTTCCTGTCTTCCCCAGGGAAGGATCCGTGCGGGACCGACAGCAGCTCCCGGTAGGCAGCCCCTCTTTCCAAGGGCCCTGACCTTCAAGTCTCGTCCAGACAGGATGTGTTTGTTAGGTTGGGGTATGGGTCGATGGTTTGGGATTTTTTGCTTTAACTCTTCGTATTAAAATGCTGGTTCATTGTGCTGTGTCTCGCCGCACCTGTTTATGGCTTGCAAACGTCTGGGGGCTGTGTGGACAGTTTGGAATAAGAGGAAGCCTGATCTTTTTCTGTAGGCAGAAGCTACATTTTTGCCATTTCACCCTTCCTTTCCCAAACAACTGCTTTGCAAAGGGTCATGTGGGTCGGCCCATGGCGAAGCCAGCACCCACGTTAGTGATAGGTGCACAGCAGTAACTGGGGGTCTGCCTGGCGTGGACCCCACCCATACCTCTGTCAGGATGGGGACCAAAGGTGGCCGGTTGTGGCCACCAACCACCAAGGCCAAGAAAGCCTGGCTCTTCTGTCCCACGTTGGCCCTTGGCCCTTGTCAAGGAGCCTTTCTGTGTGGGAACTTGTGGCCGTCCATCCAAACCCCACGGCCCGGTCCTCCGGCTGTGGCCAGCAGCACTGTGGCTGCTGCCCGGGCTCAGAAGGCATTGCCAGAGGAGCTCAGTGTCCTGGGAGGGGCTCAGTCATAAGACCATGGTCAAAGCCAGAGACCACACAGCCTCTCAGTGGGATGTGCAGCGTGGGCTGCCACATTGAATTTTCAAGGCCACTTTCTGTCCTTGTTTAGTTTTCCAAAGGGACGTGACAAATGGGATGCTAACGACAGTTGTTTTGGTCCAACAGACAGAAGCAGAGAGCACAGCCGAGCACCCGGCCCCCCCGCCCTCATGCTGCACACCGAGAGGAGGAGCCCGGCCGGGCCCAGGGAAGAGAAGGTGGGTATGTGGGCTCCCCTGGCGTTTCACGGACGTGCAGCCGGGTGAGGGGCACTCAGAGCCGGGACTCCCCGCCCTGCACGTGTTTTCCCACCTGTCTCCGGGGGGATTAGGGGAGGGATGCTCTATGACACGGAGCCAAATCGGACAGGACAGTTCAGAGCATGGCAGAGGGGCGGGGGTCCGAGGGCTTTGGGAACAGCCGTCTGGCCTTCCCGGTGGGTCCTGTTCCAGGGCTTGCCAGGCGGGCTCCGTGTGGAGGAGTTGGTGCTGACCTGGCTTCCCACGGGTGCTGTCCCCACACTTCAGACAGGGCGGGGCGCCAGGCTGCGGGGACACAGACGCCACCGAGGCAAGGCCAGAGCCCGTGTTTGGATTATTTTAGCTGTGTGTGGACCTCCCCCAGCCCCACACCTTTGTGTTTTCTCCTCTCATTCTAGTCAGAGGCTTCTCTTGGCCTTTCTGCCAAATGGCATTTTAGGATTGACCATGAGTGCGTCCGGCGCGTTTACCTTCCATGAACGACCCAAGGGATTAGCTTTTATTGCTACGTTTGAAAATCACAAATGGCACTTAATTTGCTCTGATCTCGAGCATCCTGGAGGCCCGTGGTCCGCCTCCAAGCCTTGTTCACGTTCACTCGAAACTCCTTCCAGCGGGTCCGTCTGTGCTGCGGGTGTGAACGTCCCATTCCCGCCAGCCTTCCCACCGTGCCCCTGCGGGACCTCCCCGGCTCCGTCCCTGGCCTTCATGCCCTCCCCGTCCTTAGCGCCAGTGTCCGGGCGTAAATGGGTCACACGGTGTTAGCGCACATTGAACTTCTGCTCCTGGACGTAGGATTTCTCTGTGAGAGATGAACACTCGTGCCAGAATTCCATATTTATTAAACAAATATCCTTCCTGGTGCCTTAACTACTTTCTTTATCCCTGGGCTCCGCGTCTCTAATTCACTTTTATCACTTTAGTGCGGAAAGGGAGTTTTATGCCATTTTTATCACCAACAGGAAATCATGAGCGGCGAGTGCCACATGAAGACCTTGGTAATTAGCGGGAGAGAATCTGAGCCTTGCCAAATGTAAATGTTCATCCCCACCACAAATCACGCCCCCGCCAGATCTGCATGAGTGATTAGCCGGGGTAACCCACGGCTCAGAGGCCCTCGTTGGGTTTCCAGTGTTCAATTAGCTTCATAATGAAAACCTCCCTTCGTTTTTCTAATTGGATTAGTAGTATAAACTCCGTTCTCCATATATTTTTTTTAACACCACTTTCCGAGTCTTCCTTGTTATGTTCATTATTTATCCTGACCTTTTTTCCCTCACAGGAAGGAAAGACACCTTCTAGGACCCAAAAATTCTAGAAGAAATTATTTTTAAACTTAGGGCTAATTATATAAATTAAAAATCATTTATTCTGTGTCATTATCTGTGGCAGTGAATGGAGAACAACAGGCAGAGCCAGTGAAAGGCCCGGGGTGCTCACGCCTGAGTGGGATGGCCCCTCACTTCCCCGGTGTCGCCTGTCCGGGGGGGGGAGCAGTGCCCTGTCCAATCCGTCCTCAGCCGACACCTCGCGGGGTCTTTTCCGGAGGCGTGTTGTCAGCTCAGGACTCCTGTCCTTCCTCTCGGCCGGCTCTGCTCTTCTGGCCACTCCCGCCTGACTACGGGGCCCTTCTGAGTTCCTGTCTCATGGCTGGGCAGGGGTTGGGGGTGATGGCCCCGCCAAGTGCCACGTTCCCGGCGTGGGGCTGTGTTCGCCTGGGCTCTCAGACCCTCGGCGTTCTTGGAGCGTTTTGTCTGACTCTCATGTTGTCAGTGTTCCGTAGTTGAGCATTTGCCTTTCCAGCTCGTGTGTTTGCGCGGAGGCTGACGCGGTGGGTGCTGGCGGGGGTGCTCGAGGGCACACACGGGCTTCTGTGCACGTGGCCTTCTCGCTGGCGGGCCCCATGGCAGGTGCTCCCACGGCGGCCCCGTTCAGCCTCCTGGTCGAGACCATTCAAACACATGGTTAATCACCTCCTCACCCACAGTGTCCCTTAAAGTCCCAGCTTGAGCCGTGCTGGAAAGCAAGATGGCATCCTTTTCCCTTCTTTCTTTTATTCGAGGAATCAAGAGATTTAATGGCACCTGAAATTCTCAGCCAAGAGCCCTTACATTGCTTTGAATAACATCCTTAGTGTTTTTTCATCTCACCCGATTGTTTGAGAGAAGGAGAACCCAGTACTGTGTTATTATGAGATCGAAACTGTAGGAACAGCTGGGAAAGGAAAACACGTCACCCCCACACTGCGAGCATTTGCTGAGCTCGCTGAGACCCCCCGCCTCTCCTTAACCGCTCTAGAGTCGAGGGGACACTTTTCCGACGATTCCTCCTCAGGGCCTTCCGGTCTGCCTGCGGGAACTCGGATGGGTTTTCCCTCCGTCTGGCAGAGAGCCGGCGCTCCAACCGCAGGAAGGCCGCTAAATCGGTTAATCCAAACCCTCGGTCTGCATTTACGTCCCCTAGTTTCTGTCCTCAAGCAGTTTTCATCTGTCTGCAAACTGTGTCCATAATGAATGATGAGCAACGGTCCTGGCCACGTTTTGTCTTGTTTACCTGTTTAGTAGTAGAGAATAAATCTTCATTTTCTTCTAGGTGGTGTCGCGTTCAAACATTCCTTATTCTCTCAACAGAGATAGAGTGATTTCCAAACCAACTCTGCCTCCGCGTACCGTGTCCTGCCCCGAACGCGGTCCCCGGCTAGATGCACAGAGGGCAGCCAGCCTCACACGATGCTGCAAGGAAGCAGGCTTGTGTCCTCCTGCCTTCACGGGCCCGGGATGAGCCAGCCCCAGTGGCACCCGGGACCCCTTGCTGCGTCAGGGTCCCTACCACAGTGCACGGTTTCGGATCCCCTGGACCCCAGCTTCTGAGTCAGCCCATTTCTGGAGCTGAATCCCACGTGATTTTTTTTTTAACCCACGAGGTGGGAAGGGATCCAGAAGCATTCTCTCGGCTCATGCCCATCTCTGTGTCTGCGAAAGCACTGGTTTAGCCAATTTTGGGTAATTAGGGAGATGCCTTTGCCTGAGCTCCTCAGCACGGTCTGTTGTGCCTTAAATTCTACATTCTCAGCATAATTGCCCTGTCCCATTTGCTTGCTGTACCGAGCAGGTCATTATCGAGTGGGGACGTAGGCAGGTCTGTGTGCAGGAGACTTGTTACTCTTCCCCTGGTTGCCTAGTTGAAGATGAGTGTTTAAATTAAAAAACAAAAAAACAAAACAAAACAAAAACAAAAAAAACCAGTGTTGTCTTTCTCTTTCTGTTGAAAGGAACCGCCATCGATGCTAGTCACCAGAGAGGACAGTGCAGCTGAAGGAAACAGACCCGTGGCCTCCGCTCCAGTGCCCGGTTCCCCCTGGTAAGATGCCCCGAGACCTGAGAGCAAGGACAGGTAGCCTCGTCTACACCCGGTGCCTGCTCGCTGGCACCAATGAGAGAACGTACGTTCCTTCGGTGATAATACAGTGATTTAAAAAATTAGTTTGCAGCTCATGGCAGCTCCAGCCCCACACCGTTGTGACGTTCTGCAGGAAGAAAGTAGCATCTAAGTGATACGTTACCCTGCTCCATACGCTTGCGAACCTGTATCCAGATAATAAGCTATTGCATTTATATCAGTGAAAGACCGTGTCTGAAGAAAACACAGCACGCATTAGGCTTCAAAGGGCTTTTCTTCCCTCTCCTCTAAGAATATAGTACCTGAATGGCTGTTAATTAAAGATGTGTCTGGCTCTCTCCGGCTGCCCTGGGAGGATTCCTGATCTTTGAGTACGCTGTGCTCGAAAGACCCTCCACGAGGGAGCCACTGTCTTTGGTTTTTAAAAATGTCCTTTTATAATGGAATAATTTGGAAGCAGAATAAAAAGGTTATTATAATAAAAATTAGTTCTGAAACCCGAAGATGAAAGGGTAGAACAGAGCTGGAAGGGACAGCTAATTCGGACAACAGAGACCGCGCCTGGGCGTCTGCATCAGGTGCGTCTGCGTAGGAACCTGGTGGGACATCAGCCTCACACGGTGTCCCTGGTGACCGGCAATGCGGGAAGAGCACGCTGGGCATCTGCCGGGCCCCGTGGCTCGACCCTGAGCACCTGCTTGCTGTGCTAAGTCATGTTCTTCGCCGGCGAGACAGGGCACGTGCTCCTTCCCCGCGCGGCCAGCCCTGGCGCATCCCCCCCAGCCACGCCCCATCTTCAGCTGAACCCGCTGTTGGTGCAGGCCCTTCTTTGGCTAACAGTTCACACCCAGCTCTCCGGTCGTCCCAACACTTAGGGAGTGTCCTACAATTCAGTTGTGATACCGATGCAGAGTGGTCTGGACCCAGGAGCTAAGGGCTCCGTCCCTCAATGGTGCCCTTGCTTCAGACCCGAATGCAAATGGGGCACGGGCGACCTGCACACGGCCCGGCTGACCACCAATGTGGGGCTTCCTACACCTCCCTCTGGGTGTGAGGTTTTGCTCGGACGACTCACAGAGCTCAGGGGAAGGGTTTCCTCGTGGTTGCGGTTTTACGAGGAAGGTTACAGCTCAATGGAGGAGACCAGCGCTTGAGCTATGTGGGGAGGTCCGCGACCTTCCGTGCCCCCGAGAGTAGCACCCCAGACATGGGTGCTCACGCACCCCGGTATTTATGGACGTGGCATCACAAAGGCATGGCTCCTTGGATCACTGGGCAAATGGAGTGAAGACCACAAATGCATTTTCTGTGATGCCATGAGCGCTGCCCAGGGCTTCCGTAACCAGACTCCCCGGTGTGTGTCCAGGGTAGTTGCACTTTCCACGTCCTGCTGAGGGGGCGGGGCAAATTCAGCGCAGGGGAGTGGGGCTTGGAGGATTATGATTCCGTGGAAAACGTGACCTTGAGCAGTGGAGGTCTCTAACTGTGAAGCCACGGTGCTCTTTCCTCTGTAATACTGCGTGAGAGCGCAGAAGGCTAATCGGACCAGAGCAGTCCTGCGGTCCCTCCTGTCGCTCCCTGCAGCGGGGGGCCTTTGTCTGTAAACTGTGAACCAGCCTGTGCCCTTCCTGGGCCTCCGAGGCGGGCCGCAGCCGGCTGTGGAGCCTGAAGTCCGGCGTCCTCTCGATGACTCACCAGCAGGATGGGGACAGCGGCCCTGGGCAGGCCGGCCAGGCGCAGGCAGGGTCACCGTTCTGCAGGATATCACAGGCCCGCAGGGGCGCAGACAGCTTCCACGATGCGAGGTGGTGCTTTCTGGGTGGGAGTCAGGTGTGCTGGCTGGAACCCACCTGTCCCTTCCCCGAGGCTGATGAGAGGCTGCCCGGGCCGCTCTCTGTTCCTCCGTCCGTGCTTTTCCGACCCGGCACCCTTGAAGGAGAGCGTTCTGGCCTTGTTGAGCGGCTGTTCCACTAAGGGCCGGAATGTGGACAGACGCCCTTCCCCGACACCTTCAAGCCTGGCTTTGCAGGTCCCCTGAACGCGGAGGAGGGACCTTTGACCTCGCGGGGGAGCGGCCCCCACTCCCTTGCTCGGCAGCTGGGAGGCGGCTTCACGTGCAGCTCTGACATCCTCATCAGCCTTGGCGTCGCACGCGTGGGAGCCTGGCCCCAGCGCTCCGCGCGGACCCCCAGTCTGCCGTCGGGAAGGGCCCTGCCTGGGGCGCTGTGCCTGCTTCCCATGCGCAAACCGGTCCCGACAGCCCTGTTCTGCGGGTTTGCTCTGGGCCGTCTTTCTTCCGGGCCATTGGTTCTCGGGAAGTCGGAGGACAGAGGGACCCACGGCAGGTGCAGGGCCCTGGGTCTGTCCCCTGTCACCCTCACCAGCCACTTGTGCATCAGGGCGTCTGAGTGAGCCAATGGCATGTTGACGAATCCGTCATCCAGACAGCGACTTTTCCGGGAACACGCCTGTGCCTCTCATTCACAGGGCTTGATGCTGAGGTGTTCCATGGGGAGGCGGGGTGGGGGACGGAGGGATGTGACTGGGTCCCTTGGAGGTGAGCAGGGAATGCAGGCATGTCCACGGGTGTGACCGGGTGGCCGTGGGCTGGGCGCCAGCTCCCAGGAGCTCTTGTGTTTTCACTGAGTCTCCTTACACGTCACCGTCCAACACTAGGCCCCCCCTCAAGTCTGGGGGAATCTGGTCCTTGCTCTTCCCCAAAGTCACGCCTTCTCCACGGTGGCCCTGTCGGTCAGTCAGGCCCCGTTCCTGTCCCCAGGAGCAGACCCTCCTCCAGAGGAAACTGTGAGGGCTCAGGTCAAGAGCCAGGAGCGAGACATCACCTGTGAACCTGAGCCTTGACCTCAGACCAACATTCTCCAGAGAAAACTTTGGATTTCTAGAAGATTCTAGAGGTTTCAGGATAGGTGGGGCAGGCCACATAGGCTGGGAAAGGACCACTCTTGACCACCACAGAGCTCCGTGGGGGCTGCTGGCATCACATAAGGAAGTAAGAGGTTTTGGAATCTACTCAGAACATGTAAAATGGAAAAAAAAATGGGAATCAAAACATTCTTTTTTCTTTTTGTTAAAGATTTTATTTATTCATTTGAGACAGAGAGAGGGAGAAAGAGGGCATGAACCGGGGGGTGAGGCAGAGGGAGAAGCAGCCTCCTCACTGAGCAGGGAGCCTGATGTGGGGCTCGGTCCCAGGACCCTGATGCTTTATGGGCTGAGCCAGTCAGGCGCCCCTAAAATGGAAATCAAAATATTCTTACTCTGCTAACGTTTTCACTGTGCTCACATTTTTACCAAATTGGAGCTGAGCCGTTGAATGTGCGGGAGGACGGCAGGGTCAGCTAAGACCCAAAATCACTCTAACGTAGTGGGAAAGCAGAAACTTGCTGTGAAAGGTTGGAAGTTCTGCTCCTTGGGGACCCAGCGAAAGCTTTGCAGGCGAGACCGGGGAAGGCAGTCCTGCTCGTGGCTCCGTGGGAGGCCGGTGAGTGTGAGTGGAGCGCCGCCAACGAGTGGCTTCCGTGATCATTTCCAATCGTGCGGCCAAGACACATGGCCCGATGTACAGCCTTCTTCAAAGTACCTGCATCACACGAAGACCTTAGAGATGCCAGGCCAGTGCCGGGACGCCCGGTGGACACGGGTAAGGAGCCAACCCGCATTCTTCCCGCCTGTGCCAGCCGAACCACGGACATGGCTTCGGAGCCCAAAACGGTGTCTTCAGCCAGTCTGTGACTCAGAAGCTCACGGAGACCAGTGCCACCAGGAGGGCCTCAGGATGCCATAATCTGACATGTGAAATTTGCAGGAGAAACAAGAAAATGAAGACTATGTATGAACTTTCATAGAAAGTGACGTCTTATCTGCCTCAACATGGAAGAAGAAGCCGGAGGGAGAGACGTGATGTCATCCGAGCCCGTCTTCCGGGTCTGCTCCTGTCTTCCGTGTGGCCGTTCCGGAGGAGCACTGTTCCGTCTCTTGCGGATCTCTGTGTATCCATTTCTCGGGCTCACCTTCCTCCTTCTTTATAATTTGGCTTTTGACCCACAGGCCATTCAGGAACAACTCAGCCACTCTCTAACTGGAGGGTCATGAAAATGTTCTCCTTGGAACCGTTGAAGACACGAAGAAAACTGAAAACTGTTGAAGTGTAAAGTTCATGAGCTTTGGCTCAATCGACAATCAGTGCTGGTGCCAATCAGTAACATGTTACAATTCTTTACAAGACTATGGATTTACAAGTAATTCTCTATTTTTGTAAAATTTTAAAAAATGAACATTGTTTTGAAATAAGACCATTTTTCATGAAGTCAAGATTAATGTAGCGAGTTTTATGTCTGTGATTCCTGCATAGCAAACCCCGGACTCCTTCTCCCAGCAGCTTAGAAGGAGATGAGGGCCTGCTCGGGGCCGACCAGAGCTGGAGGCACCGGCAGGAAGCTGACTCTGCCAGCCAGCGGGTGCCACCTCCCAGCGAGGCCCACTCGTGCAGCTGCCGTGAGGAAGGACGCAGTTTGGCCGGAGTGCGTGGGACGCTGCCCAAGTGGCTATGGCTGGCGTGGGAGTCCCAGTGTGGCCACGGAGAAGCTGGCGGCGGGTGTAACCTTCTCCCTGGGAGCAGGAGGGCCTTCTCTGGACAGGAGCCTAGAGGCACGACGCCCGGGTGCACGCCTTGCTCACCCCGACTGTGTGATCACAGCATGCTTGTCATTCTGACTTTATTCGCTATCTTAGCCCCAACTGACGGCATCTTTTTATTCAGTTGTAACTACCCATTCGCTGAATGTGATGTTTTAATAGCAGGTTCTCTGGGTTTTTCTAAATCCTGGTAGTGGACACGTTTGGCTTGTTCTTGGGTGAAGTTGGTAGAACTTTCCCAGAAAGGAAATTCCCCAGAGCATCGTCGGTGTGGATGACGTTTGACGAGAACAAGGTTATCAGAA